TACCAACGTGATCGGAAAGCTAGAAAGTGATGAAGCTCCATTGTCTCTCGTGTATGATTACTTTCGTCAAATGCACAACTCATATATGGACGATAAAGACATACAACAAAAAGTGCAATCTCGCCTCGATTTTCTCTTTACACCAGGTATTGGAATTGTTTATATATTAACGCCCAAAAATGCCGCAGAAGGTTTATATTTAAATGAATATAAAACCGATTTTATCACTGCTACAGTTAAATTCCCCAAAAAGATCAAACCTGAAATTGCTGACACTGCTGAGGATGAATTGATTGCTTTTATATGAGAAATGGCTGCGCTGCCTGAGAGAAGAAAGAAAACAATATTTAAGATGAACGCGCGAAACTATTGGAACATTATCGGTCCAATAAATATCATGCTCTTTACGAAATTGCTAAGCTTATTAACGAAATGATCTGCTCATCGGCTACAGCAGAAAGAGCTTAATCGACCTTTCGATTTATTCACTCGCGACTAAGAAATCGTCTTACGAATGAAAGAGTTGAAAAGCTGATATGGACACAAAGGACAAGACTAGTTACATTCTGGAAGAAGGTGCAACTCTCAATGAAATTGAATGTCAAGAAATCACCGAATAGGCGCCAGCATTATATATTTTTATTACTGTAAGAATCTTTGAAAACTCCTATTGTTACTAATCACTGAGTTTATAATAAAGTTAAAATATTACTTAAAACATTTTTTAAGTTTAAAACTTTTTTTGTTGATTTCAAAAAATTGTCTGCAAAGCAGTAAATTTTGTAAGCGCTGACGTCTGCGCAGACGTCTGCGCAGACAAATTACATTGTCTGCGCATATCTGCGCAGATCTGCGGAGACAGTCCGAACCCTAATATTTTTTTTATTTTGAGAAGTGAAGTGAAGCCAGGAAAGCCAAAGAAGTATATATATATATATATATATATATATATATATATATATATATATATATATATATATATATATATATATATATATATATATATATATATATATATATAGATATATATATACTTCTTTGGTTTTCCTGGCTTCACTTCACTTCTCAAAATATATATATACATATATATATACATATATATATATATACATACATATATATATATATATATATATATATATATATATATATATATATATATACATATATATATATATATATATATATATATACATACATATATATATATATATATATATATATATATATATATATATATATATATATATATATATATATATATATATATATATATATATATATATATATATATATATATATATATATATATATTACGTATACTTAATAAATATTAGGTTCAGAGGTGCAAGTCGTTTCTAGTAACCATTTATATATATAAATTTTATTTATTTTGAGTTCAAAAATATAACTTTTTAAATAATGATTTATTTAGAAGTAACATTAATAATATTCATTCAAAATCATACAAATATATAATTTATCATATGCTTGTAATTAAATAACTATTTAATTTAAGAAGTGAAATTTTTTAATATTTGTACCCTATGTCAAGATCACATATCTCGGAGACTGGACTGTTATTAAATTTTGACATTAAAATAATTTTTTTTTTATTACAATAACAATATATTATTATTGTATTATAAAGACGAATTAAAATACAATATTCAATGTTATTGTAGTGGGTCATTACAATACTTTTTTTTTTTTCCAGATATTCCTATTGTTTTATAAAGATGAATTGCAATACAATATTTATTGTTATTGTATTACAGTATTACAATAGTTGTAAATTACAAGTATTATTATTGTTTCTAAATTAAGTTAATACAATAACAATAGTTATTGTTACTGTTATCGTTTTCATTACAATTACAATAGTCCTAACCCAAGTTATGCGTTTCTTCTGACTAATGGCTATATAACTATAAACAGAGGTATCCGTACCAACCTTTTTCAATATTGATTAAGAATATACTGTACTTGAATTTTATTTTAGTCTCATTATAAATAATAATGTATTCAATAAACGGTGCTCATTTTTGTACTTAAACAATTTAATTTGTATGACGACTTTTTATAGTTAATTAGTGTTCATTACGTATGACTGGGCCTCATTTATGCGTTACATAATCATACTATAATATATTATAGTATATATATGTAAATGATTCTGAGAACTTTATGGAACAGAATTTCACTACTTGATAGCTGTTGTAATAAAAACTATAATAATAATAATATGTTATTTTATAGCCAATGAAAGTTTCGCTCAACTGTGTGCTTGTTGTGCATCTTAGTTAGTACTGAATGTTATTAATGCACTTTAGGTACACACTTATTTTTCTTGAACCTTCAACAGTGTCACTATTATATCTCTATTAGAGGCATGATAGAGACATCTAAAACAGTTGGTGTTCCAATTATACCCACATGCTGGGTTAAGAGTAACAAATAGAGAACAAAAAAAGGTTGGCCATTAACTTTATTTTTCAAAAAATACATGCAAAAATTTATATTTTTAATCAGTGGTACCATAAAAACCTTAAAAACTGTTCTTATTCACCCCGATTTAAAATGCCGAGAATGTTTTTTTTTATATATTGCAAAAAAACAAAAAACAAAAACTAAGCAGAACCGTCAACCTAGTATTAGGCTTACAAACGGTAAATAAAAAAGCGAAGATACAAAACAGGTAAAAAATATTTTGTGAATAATTTAATAAATAACTTGTTTTACTGATTTTAATGAATAAAACTTTAAACGTATTTAAAAAAAAAAAAATAGAGTATATTTTTAAGAAAAGCCATTTAAAAGTTCAGTTAAATTTTTCATTTTGTTAAATATTACTACTAAAACGCTTTATATACCAAAGTGCAGCGAAAACATATATATTAGGGTGGGGCAAATTTTGGTTGCCTCATGCAGACAATAGTAAATTGATGCTCCCCCATCAACTTATCAAGAAAATTGATGTTTTTAATTTTTAGTACCATGTCTAGGGGTCGCATTGTACTATGGTAAAATATTTACCATGGTACAATATTATGTTTTGTATTATTTGTGATTCTGAATGGCTAATAAATGACTTGTATGTATTGAAACCTGTAGGTAGTAATAATTAATGTTAGTTTAGATATCATTTTTTTTGTAGATGTTAAAAATTTGGATCTAATTTGAGTTGCAACTTGGCAGTAGCAAGTTAGATATGGCTAGCTGTAGCACAAGAAGTCCAAGTCGACACTCAGTGTTCGATTTTCCGAATGAACTGAAAAAAAAAAATGCTACCGACATGTGAAGACGTTTTCTGTACATATTGTTTTCACCAGAAACAGCAGTGCCAATCTGTTAATGGCATTGTGAGAACTGTCGCGACAGAACTGATTGAGATCTATAACACAGCTAGCATACCTACGATTGCGATTGATAGCGTAATGAAAAAGGTGAAACTGCTAATTGACAAAGGAAATGATCTATGAAAATATCCTGATGCAAAGCGAACTTCTGAGATATATCAAAAGATATTGTAAAGTTTCAGCAATTTGTTTGACATTTGTCCATGTAAGTGCGTTAATGCTGGGATTGCAAATAGAGCAGATTGTAAATGTCCAGTCGACAGAAAGATTCCTCTTATTGAGTGGAATTTCTGGGTTGACCAAAATACTACCAGAAAAATGGTGGTTGGAAATATCGATCCAGTGGTGACAGGTAAACTGCAGAAGTCAGAAGAAAGACAAAGGAAAGCAGCTATGTTCCTAGAGAAAACGAAATTGAAAACCGTTGAATGCAGTTCTACTCTTCAAGATTTTGATAATGTTGAAATGGAAAAGAGTTCAGAAAGTCAAAACACTAGTGGTAGCTCCATAGACGATTCAAATATAACATACGAGGAGACCAGTGATAGTAATGGCAGCAGATGTGCACAAAGCAGAAATTATTATCCAGAACTGTGTAAAGCTATTAATCTCTCTAAATGTAGCAATCGAGATGCCGTTTTAATTGTAAATTCTGCCTTGAAAGACCTCGGCAATCATCCCAGCAAACTTCGCCGTCAAAGATCTGCATATCGGAAAAAGTAAGTTGTGAGTCATGCAGAGAAAAATCAAGAAATTGTTTGTCTTGGTTTTGATGGTAAGATTGATGTTACTCTTACACGTGTAGGATCGACTCGACGTAAGTTAAAAGAAGAACATTATGCTTTGGTTTCATTCCCAAACCGAAACTATGTCGAACATGTTGTTCCAGCATCTGACGACATCTCAAAAGAAATTTTATCGGTTGTTATAAGTACTAAATCAGAAACAACTTTAAGAGCACTCGTTTGCGATGGAACCAATGTTAATGTAGGAAAAAGTAATAGCATAATCCGAAAAATTGAACAATATCTACAAAGACCACTTTAATGGTTAGTTTGCATGCTGCATACAAATGAATTGCCATTAAGAAAACTGATAAAAGTTATTGATGGGGAATCTACTGGTTCAAGAACTTCCAAAGGACAATTAGCAGGCGAGATGGAATTTGATCCTCAACATAAACCTATACACTCTAAAAAACGTTGTGTTAAAACAACACAAACTTGTGTGTTCCGCAACACAAAACTTTTGTCATATATGAACAACACAAGACGATGTTAATTTAACATAATGCCTTGTGTTAAACAAACAACACAAGGCATTGTGTAGAAATTTATGCGTAATCTTGCGGTTAATCGCAAAGTTAGTTTTTTGTTTATTTTTACTCATAAAACACGTTTTAAAACATATTTTACGCAGCAATGTTGAACTAAATGACTAAAAAAAGTCGCGACGATTTTTAATTAAAACTTAAATTATAGAGGAGGTATGCTTTCATTTTATTGTGAAAGTTTGTTAAGAAATAGAATACAAAAGTATGTTTAATAATTTCATTTTATCATCTGAACTAAATCTACATCATATATTAGTATATACTTTATCCATTTATTTTAAATAATATGTTATGTTTGTAGTTTGAAATATATTTTTAAAATTTACTGAAAATATCGTGCATATTTTTAATTTATAGTTTCACATAAAAGATTTGCAGTAAAAAAAAATTTCAAAGAAGAAGATAAAGGCTAAAATTACTAAAATGTCCTAAATTACTGTCTAAAATTTGTCAGCATCAGTTCGAGGCTTTATTATTTCTGAATATACTACATATGAGATATCTCTTCGAATAATTTACGTGCTTTAGTGGACGCAACAGAACCAGGCAGTTTATAAACTAATTCTTGAAAGAAATTGTATAAAATTTGTAGTTGCTTTGGATATTCAAGATTAAATACAAAAAACGACTTGAAAAGACAGTCAAAGGCAACAGAAACTTTCGAAGGTTTAACTATAATTGCTTTTCCATCGCATACAACAAAAAAAGACGATCTACACGACAAAATGAACGGTTGCTGTTTTGGATTTGAGCGATTAAGGAACATCTTGAGTGTCTCGCCGTCCTGAAAAAAAAAGTATGCAATTTTTTTAAGTTTGAAGTAAATCTAATCGAACAAAAATTAAACACAAGTAAAATAACGAGATAAAGAAGATAGAACAGTTGTTAGTATAATTAAATTTAATACTTCCTTAAAATTATATACTAATGGTATATTAATAATTTAAGAAACAAATGAGATTTCGAGATAAATCTTACCTTTAGTTCTTCAATTAGGAAAAGCATTGCTGAAACACGATATTTTCCCATAGTTGGCAAAAGATAAACAAGGGCTTTTAAAGATTTTAGTACTAATGCATCTAAACAAAATTAAAATTATAATATCATTTACATAGATACAAAGTAGAAAGTATTACAGTTTAAACTGAATAGATATAAATATATAGTTAACTAATTAATTTTATTAGCTAAACAATTATGTTACTTATATTAATTATATTACTTATAATAAATTAAATTAATCACATAATATAATTAACATACTTAATAGAACATTTTTATTTTTATTTTTTTTTATTTTTTTTTTCTCTCGGAGTTTTACATCCATGTTTCCACACTAGTGTGATTTGGATGGTTCTACAAAGTGACATAAATGCCACTATGTAAGAGTTGAATCAATTTTTTACAACCGGATGCCCTTCTTGACGTTAACATGAAACAGGTTGTACTGGATTTCATGTTACCAGTAGCAGGATAACCTAACATACATATATAATTATATATACTTTTAAATAATATTATATAACTTACTTTCCGAAGCAATCAATTAAGTAAGAGCATGCTACTTTGACGAGAAGATGATGCAAGCGATCATCCATTACAGCTTTTTGTGCCTCAATAATGATGCTATTTTTTAAAGGATGATTTTCTATTGCATCCATTATTGACACAACCTAAAAGAAGAAACTAATACAGAAGTTTTTGAATTAATCAACTAGTCAAAGAGTATAACGCTGTTGCAACTATAATCTTCTAACAAACATATTACATTTTAATTCAAAAACTGACAAGAAATATTTATACAAATTGAAAATTAAAAAAATATCTATATAACCTAAATAAAATATAAAATATATTTAAAAAAATCAACAATAAAATAAAAAAAATGTTGAAATATAATAAAATATTAGGTGTACCATCTTTTTTGGACCACATGACTTGGTACATGCAATGGGAGTTACCACAGATGTTTCTATTGTGCATCATAAAGTAAATCATATAACAAACTGTTACTATTTGCATGTCGCATCAATAAAAAATGACAAAAAATTAAATTTGTGTACTAAAAATAAATTGTATTAACATACCAATAAGGTCCACATTTTGCGAATGAACAGGCTTAGAATTTGAAGTTGCTAAAGCTGCTTCTAATTTACGTCTCTTAAGAGGAGGTAGTACATTAGGCAGGTCTGTTTCAATGTTTAAAAACAGCAAATCTTCCATTGAACTAGCACCTAGCTCTACCAAATGAGGCAGGAGACGATTAATATCCTCCACTGGAAGAACTTTACTTAAGAAGTTGTTAATTTCTTCCATTATTATAAAAAAACTTTACTAAAAGTAAGAAAATCAAAGAAAATCAATAAACATTATCCATGTTTGAACAAAAATTGCCTATTTACATTATTAACTTAAATACATAATTTCAAAATAAATTCATAATTTAGAAAAACAAAAGTTGGTAAATATTTCATTATCATAATTTTGTTTCATTAATAACAAAATCAAATCAATATCAAAACTAAAAAATTATGTTATTATATCCAGGCTAATATATTCATGTCTTGTTATAACAAAACTTTCATCAGAATACTTTCTGAAGCCAGTTGACAACGACAGTACACGAGAATCAAATAAATTGTCTATTTTAACAGCTGTATATTTAGATGTCTTACATACATTATAGCCAGCAATATGAGCATCATAGTGTATGGTAAAAAGATTTTCAACTATAAGTGTGCATTCGTTTTCATGGACAAGTAGATATAGAATCTTTACGAAACATGGGAGACAAAGTTTGGTTAGCCCTAAAACTACAATAAAGTCTGGCATGTACTTTACACCATCTGTGATTACATAATTTGCACAAAAACATTCTTCATACAGTGGAATTTCACCAAAAACAGCCACTGGCAAAGGTAAGCAAGCTGGCATAATTTCAATACCAGGACCTACTTCTGCACTGAGTATACTTGCAAAATTTGACAAATCAAGATGTAATTGTATTTGCTGACGCCATGCAATACTTTTTAAAACATTTTTAAAGTTGTGCAAAATGTGACATTGCTCCTTTGCAGGAGCATGTTTTCCTTCAAATCGCATACACCAATAATTTGGTGAAGGACCTAGTTGTAAAATTTTTGAAGGATAATGGACAAGAAAATGTTGTTTTAGAATAACAGTATGTCCAGAAAATATTTTTGTAAACAACTTGTGATGAATGCTAATGACCTCTGTTAAATAAGTTATTAAATGAACAGTCACTTTTGGAGCAAAGGTTATTTCACATATTTCCAATAATAAATGAATTAAATGAAAGTACTGGTTATCAGTATCTACAACATCACCAAGCAACAAACAAAAAAATCTTCCTAAACACCAACTTTGTGTTGCATTTAAACCTAACCTTTTGTCTTTAGAAACAAGTTTTTCACATGTTATTTGCAACGGCTTATTTTTCTTATCAATGCCAAAATTAAAGCTTTGCAATCAACCATTGAATTCCTCAATGGTCAACAGGCAATTAATTAGTAATAAGCGATGAAGAACTATTTTTAATTCATACTGTAAGCAACCCTCAAGTATGTCATGCATTAAATCTGGGCAAATGTTATCAAGAACAGAAAAATACTGAAGCTCTGACAATGGATTTTGTTTATATACACCAGATAATTTATTACTATTAGCTTCACTAAAAAGTGCTTGACAATCTGCAATGTGATGCTCTTTAGTTCTTAAGACTAGATCTTCTTCATAAAAAGTGTGTTGCATTTGTTCTTTTGTTGTATAGCAGTAATGACAGCTCTTGTTGGCAATAAAGTTTGAACTAAATCCAAAAATTTGGTGCAATGCAAGATTGTCCCCAGACCACATAACTACTGCACCATATATACAAATGTAATTTTCATTTATATACAATTTAACTCCCTTCTCTAGAGCTACCAAGTCCTTTATTAATGGCTTTAAAAGCTTTTCATATCCATACTTTGCAACATCAGCTGAAAAACAATAAATTACAGGATATATGTTAGTCAATTTAGAGCATTTCTTTATGTTAACATTTTTGATGGACAAATAAACTGCACAAACTTTGTGAACTTTAGTTTTTGATCCTAAAGGATTTACTGTTTCAAAATCATCACAGTATAGTTGAAGCTGAAGAGCATTTGGATGTTTCTTGTATAAAGGATGATTCTTATATTGTTCTGCATCACTATAACAAGTTAATTTATTTAATTTTGTTAAAACGTTATCATCTATTTTGTTAATGGAGTACTTTTAAATCACCATAGAAATGATTTCTAGAATAGAAATATACTGCATAGTTTCATTTCGATAACTCATTACATTATTTTTATAAACTTTATGAAGCATCTCAGATCTGAACCCAACAGTTATTTTAATAGGTGCAACCATCCCTTTTTGTTGTAAGTGTTTTCTTTGCAGGTAACTAGATGTAATTAAACTACACTTTACACACTCACATTCAATATCATTTAGGACATCACTTACTCTGCCAGCATCTGTTTCATCATTTTGAATTGTTTTTTGTACACTTTCAATAACTGTGGATAAAATATTTTGAATACTTTTACCTACATACTGAATTATAACTTCACTTGTGTTACGACATCTTAGAGTCATTAAAACATCTAAAATCATTTCTTTTATCTTTTCCCCATTTAATTCACTTGAAAAAATAGTATTTCTGTTATCTTTATCAATATGTGCTGCTGTATAAATACCTAGCTGATCCATTAGCTCACCATTGCTTTCTATAGGAGAAATATTTATATCGTTATATTCCAAATGAGGGTCAATTGGATGCTTTCTATATAAATGAATTTTAAGGGAATGGACATTGTCATATGTTCTGCAACAGCCACCTTGTCTACAAGAAATTTTACAATTTTGTGTTGAAGTAATACCATGGCGATAATGAAAATGTTTTAAAAGATCACTTACAGTCTTCAATGATACTAAAATAGACTCACAAAAAACACAAAAATAACCCATTGTTAATACTTAACAGTGATGAAAAAATTTAAAGTAATTAACTACAAACTAAAAATTATTAATCTTGATTCAAAAAAGCTGTCCTAAAATTTTTAAAAATCTATTTGATATAGTACAAATTCCATCAGGTGTTACGCATGCGTATCTTGAGAATTTTTTCTACACAAGAAGACACAAATTTTTTCTACACAAGAAGACACAAATAATTTTTGTTTGCAGGTAAACGCATGCGCTTTTGAATGATATTTTTATAATTTTTTCTACACAAGAAGACACAAATAATTTTTGTTTGCAGGTAAACGCATGCGCTTTTGAATGATATTTTTATAATTTAACACAAACTTGTTTAACGGAAGCAACTCAAGATCAAGTGTTGATTTTCAACAAAAGGTTTTTTACAGTGTAGTTGATTTCTCTCCCGTATCAGGTTGAGTTGCTGAGGTTGATGAGACCGTAATGAGTGACCTGAGTACAGATCAGGTGTACCTGCTTAAAATATGTCTTAGAAGATTATTGCGCTAGTATTGCAAAACAACAGCTACTTTTGCCATCCGCAAAACATCTTGGTGGCAGCTGTTGGTGATGATGATGGAAATATCAGGAAATTTGCTGTTGAAAAAATTTTGCATGCTCGCAGTGAACATTCCGATGATAGAATTCGTTGTTTTGACAAAAGCTTGATCAAAATTAACTTCACGTGCAAGTCATACTTAGACATGATCAACTGGAACAAGGCCATCTTTGCTTCACTTCCACTTCCGAATGACATCACGTCAGGAACAATTGTTAGTCATTCAAAAGTTATTCTACCTAAGTTTCCATGCCATTTGCAAGATGTTGAGAGAAATATCAAAGATATATCGGCGGTCTGCGGTAAAGTTTACGGACACGATTCACGCCATGGTGTTATCTTTCAAATGAAGAAATCGAGAATAGACTTGCCTAGTTTAGAAACTAAAGCTGATTTCCTACCATAAGTAAGACACTTATACTTAACATTTGTATGCTTGATATTTGTAATGCATGCCATGTTGGTTACTTGCTTTATTTTCTTACGAAGATGTGGAATTAGAGATGAAAACCTATATGCGAACAAGGCTCAAAAGTGCGATAATTTGCAGACTAAGTTGCTAGAAAACGGTGATGTATATTATAAATCAGTATTTTGTGTAACAATTACTTTCATATAAAGCACTGATTTTCATTTGTCTCAGACCCTAATTGGAAAATTTGTTATGTTTTGCCCTACCCTAATATATAGTTACTTAGTATAGTTTATAGTTACTTAAAAAGGGAAAATTCAAGCTCATTAGTTATGTTGCTTAAAAACTCTACGGTGAAAACATACATTAATCAAACCTAATATTTTAAATAGCAAAAAAAAAAAAAAAAAAAAAAAAATAAGTAGAACCGTTAACCTAGTATTATGCTTACAAACGGTAAATAAAAAGACGAAGATACAAAACAGGTGAAAAATATTTTGTGAATAACTTAATAAATAAATTGTTTTACTGAGTTTAATTAATAAAACTTTAAACTTATTTTCAAAGGTTTATTTAAAATATGAACACAACTTGTCTCTTTCCGTTAAACAGCAAAATAAAAAACTTTATCTGTAGTATGTTAATTACTTAATCTGATCATCATAGAAATATAAAACTTATTTTCAAAAAAAATAATTGTTTTGTTTTTGGTTCCTCAGTGCAAAATTAAAATATGTCAAAAAATAAAAAATAAAAATTATTGATCATACAAATAATTAAATTTATAATAAATTTATATTTATTATAAATTTAATTATTATTTATAATAAAAAGAATTATTATTTATAATAAAAAAAAGTCTGAGTAAAATAAGATTTTAATTAATTAAAAAAAATATATAAAAAAGTCAATTACCATGCAAACTAAAAAACTAAAGTTCAAACTAATAAGAAAAATTTGAGTAAAAAAACTGGGAGAACCAAAATAGGACAATAAAAAATATTAATTTTGTATTGCCAAAAATAAAATGATAAAAGTTTTGAACTTCAAAAATTTTATATAATCAAGTCAGCAAAGGACGTTTTTAAGACGTTTTAAAAACTTATTAAAGCGGATTTTAACGTTTTTTAAAAGTTTTAAAGACAATCTGTGTTTACTGGGAAGTAAAATTATACACATAAACTATAGTTTCTATTATCGTTCAGTAAGTTTTAATATGATACCATTAACCGACTTACGTATAAGATCTAGAGAAGGAAGTATTTCATTTTCATTCTGCATGGATTGGACGTAAAAGTTTTTCATTATGCTATATAACAACATTTTCTCTTCAATCATTGCGAACTTCTGACCAATACAATTTCTCGGACCTGCAGAAAATGGAATATAGATATAGGGATTGCGCTTAACAAAATCTTCTTGTTCAAACCTTTCAGGAATGAAATCATATGGATCTTTCCAATATTCAGGACTTGAATGCATCATCATGACAAGAACACCAATTTCAGATTTTTTAGGAATAAACTGACCATCAATTACCATATCTTTTTCAATATGTCTGCCAATTAAAGGAACAGGCGGATGAATTCGCAGGCTTTCTTTTATGATGTTTTCTAGATATTTAAAGTTTCTTACTTTTTCATAAAGTGAACCTCCGGTTAATTCAACTTCATCAATTTCTGAATGCAGTTTCTGTTGAACTTGTGGATATCTTCCTAGCAACCAAAGTATCCAGCTTAATGCTGATGAGGTGGTATCATGACCTTCAAACATAAAAGTATCAACCTCTTCTTGAATCCCTTCAGTATCAATTTCACCTTTTTTATGTATATCTAACAGTAGGTCTAAAAAAAACTTTTTTTTTTCTGAGCTAACTTCTTTGTTCTTATTTGTGGTAACATTGTTTTCATTTTGAAAAAGTGTTTCAATTCTTTCATTTATTACATCTAGAGACAATTTGTGAGCAACATCTAGTGCTTTATAATATCTCTTTCCACAAGCAAGATGTTTATAAATAATATCTGGCCACAACCATGGGTATTTAAATCTCCTTGGTATTTCCTCACTTAAAATATTAATGGCTTTAACATACGCTGAATCTGGGTGACTCTGTGCATTTACTTTTACTCCCATTGATGTCTCACATATTATATCTAAAGTTGCTAATCCAATAGGTACCTGGATATCAAAATTTTCACCACTTTTGGCATAAGTACGTAGTTTATCAACTAAACAAGCTCCTTGCTCTTCAAAAATTTTTAAAAAATTATTGAGTATAGAAAAATGAAAGCTTGGTGTAAGAAGTCGACGACGCAGTTTCCACTTATTTCCTGTGCTTGTTAGTAATCCAGTTTTAAGCCAGTCATGCAAAAATTCATAAATTGATGCTTTTTTAAGGACTTCTTGACTGCTTAAAATTGCTTCCGAGAAATTTACAGAAGATGAGAAAATAGTTGGCCTAAGGCCTACCCAAACACAGAACACATTTCCGTATATTTTGCTCCACTCGCATAGTTGTTTATTAAACTTAACAGAATCACTTTCAAGTTGAAGAGAATTCCCAAAAAATGGTATGGTTGGAGGTGTTGGAACAGTCGAGAGACCATAAGAATAAATCCAAAACTTCCAAAATAATTTAATTACAAAGTATAAAGAAACTACAACCAACAAACTGTACGCAATAAACATATTATTGTTTTAGGGTTAAAGTTTAACGCGATGATTGTTCGTTAAGGCTCGGCTTCCAATAGTTGTAGAAATGTTGTACAACAGTTGTGAGTTTTTGTTGTACAACTATTGTTTCTGAAATTGATTAGATTTTATTTTCGCAATCTTTTTTTTTTCAACGTAAATTTTGTTTTAATACCGACGTTAAGTTGTACAACTTAAGCAAGAATATGTTTATATTATAAAACATTATTGTTGCGCAACTGCTTTCGTCATTTTTACAACTATTGAAACTAAGCTTTAAAGACGTTTACAGTGTTTTTATTAACACTCTGCCGCAAAGTGCGCTTTAACTAATAATTAGATGACATCATTAAGGGAGGACGGAGAAAAGGACTAAAATTATTATTTGAACACCACCTTATCCGGTTTATCTTGATTTTTTTGAGTATTTAAAAAGCAAACTTATTCAACTTTTGCATTTTTTGGTATCTTACTTTTTTTTTCTTTTAATTTTCTTGTTTTTTTTATATAAAAATAAAAATATTTTTGATGGTAAAAAAAAGAATTTGCCTTTAAAGTTACACAACTTTGCGTTTAAACTTGGATAAAATTATTCAAAAAAATATTTAAACAATAAGAGTGCTTTATTTTTTTTTTCCTGTAGTAATGAAAATACAAAAGACTGATTTCCTAATTCTGACAAACGCATTAAAAACAAAAACTTTAAAAATCATTAGATTACCATGGATTAAGGAATTTAAAAATCTAAATATAAACAAAACGATAAAGTAGAAAAATTTACAGAAAACAAAAAGCAAGCGAGAAAACATAAGAAGTAAAAAGATTTATTTGAAAAAATTCAACTTTTTTTAATAACTACCAAAACTAATTTATAAAATAAAATTAGAATTTATGAAGCTAAAAATGGTCTTATTGGGGGAAATCATTGAAAGTAAAAGATCAGTTATGTTAATCCTTAATTGTTAACTCTTTGTCCCAAGAAACTTTTGGTCTTAGCCTTCCACCCCCTCCCCCCAAAGCTGTTATATAAGCATTTGAGTTGGCACATTAGGCAAGTTTAAAACTATAGTTAGCAAATTGCAAATATAGAGGACCTTTTTTTTTTTTTGTATGTTACATACAACTGTTACATACATTTATGTTACATACATTTATGCCTATATGTTTGAAAATAGTTTATAATTGAAACGTTAAACTACTGTATATATTATTAATACTGTTTGTAATATTTCTTAAAACTAATTGTTCATGTTAGTTTTAGTCAAAAAGTTATAATGACAACCAATAATGTTATAATGAAAACTAATGAAAAGTTGACTTCATTGAAGTCAACTGTGAGATCTAGTAGGTTTTTATTGTTTTCATTAATTTGTTAAAAATATTGCATTAAAGCAAAATTATTTTATTTTTTTTAGCTAAAGAAAAGCTCGATAAAAACAATGTTTGTCCGTTTATTTTATATATTAAATGTTCAGAAAGTTATTAAGCCTATATTAAATGAGTAAGAGTTTGTTAACCTTATTATCCTCAAGTACCTATCATTACCTGTAAAAAAAAAAATAAGTTTGGGGTCGTCCATAAATTACGTCACGCTATAAGGGGGAAGGGGGATTGGTGGTTTTGTGACGACTCATTCAAAACTCGCTTCTTAAGTGTTACGTTTTTGTGACGAGGGGGTCACGATTAATTTCTTTCTCTTTCACAGCTTTTACATTTTATTGGACTTACACGTCGTGGAGGTGGTCAAGGCAGGTGGGAAAAAGGTGTCGTGGTTAATCACTACTACTAGTTTTAAATATGTTAAAATAATGTTCATACTTAAAAAAATTATTTATTACATGTAAAAAAATTGTGATTTCATTTTGTTAATCTACTTTAGTGTATTAAAGCCGGAGTACTTCAAGGAAGTATTTTTTGTCCAATTTTGTTCATTTTCTTTATTTCTGACATTAACACCTTATCTCCCACCTAAAACCATTTCAAAAATATTCTTGCTAACTTACCTTAATCATTTGTAAAGGTGTTGCACGATGGTCAATTATCAATGGAATGAAACTTAACAGCTCTAAATGTAAAATCATTAGAAATATTCCTAGGTGCTCCGAAACTTATATTAAAATTATATCTTCTCTCGTACTTTGCAATACTGAGCTTGAAAAAGTCAACTTAATTACCTTTAAATTATGCTCAATCAGAATCTTGATTGGGATGAACAATGGACAAAAGTGCACAACACTATAAAATCAGTATCATATCTACTTAAATGCTTTAAGCAAATCGGACACACTCAGCTCAACCTTTTAAAAGTCTATAGATCTTACCTTACTAGTCCTTGATATATAGTGCTCCTGTTCTTACTTTGTGCAGTCCTGCTGCAAAAATAGAGATCCAGTATTTCTAAGAAAATACTCTAACCATTATCAGAATTGATGTAACTAATTCAAGCAGCATTAATATGAGTTTTACCATTGAAGAGTTACTAGACAAGATGTGCATTGATATCCTTAAAAAGATCCTTGCTAACTCATGCCATCCTATAAACACATAATTAGCTCTAACCAACAGTAGAAACCCAAACAGATTCTTATTTGTTCTGAACACTGCAAAGACCACCACCTATCAAAAATCTTCAATTCCAAAATAATTCCGTAATTTTCGTGATGGTATCAGCAACCTCTACCTGCCACGAAACATTGGGAGCTCCACTGTCTTTTCCATACATAAATAATGTTTGCATGCGCTTATGGCAATCTTCTCTTTAATATTTAATGATGGATAAAGTTGTACAATTCATTACTTGTAATGCTATTCAATTGTAAATAAAAATAAATATTTATAAAATAAGGTAATATATATATATATAAATATAAATATATATATATATATATATATATATATATATATATATATATATATATATATATATATATATATATATATATATATATATATATATATATATTTATATTTATATATATTTTTAAGTTGATTAAGGTGCCCCAAGAAGTCCTTACGGTCTTATCACAGAGCACCGCGGAAGAGCATTTATTGGGAAGTTCACGCCTCCTTCCCAACCGATGTCGCTAAACTTGGCCAGAGGTGGGGTTTGAACCGCGGGTCCTTTGTTTCTGAGGCAAGTGCGCTACCACTGCGCCACGGCTGCTCTGGTTGTCAATAAACACATATATATATATATATATTTGCTCTGGTTCAAATACTCTCTGCTCTGGTTCAAATACTCTCTGGTTCAAATACTCTCTGCTCTGGTTCAAATACACAAATATATATATATATATATATATATTAGGGTGGGTCATAAAATTTTTTTTTTTGTTACAGGCTCTACACATTGCTAGAAAGTTGTTTTTTTATGTACTAGTTTAGGAAAGTATTTACTTTTATGGGTTGAACAATGTCTTCCACCCGCAACTATAATTACAAAAATTAGCAGGCCCTATTATTATTCAAAAAAAAAGTTTTTCAAAATTATGTGATGTAGGTACTCAAATAAAGCGAAGTTTTATAAAAATTTCAAAAATAATAATTTTTTATATAAAAATTATTATTTTAGATTTTATTGCATAATAACTATAGTTTTTTAACTAAAAGTGAAAAAGGTGCATTTTTACATGTTTTTCAATAACAATTTTTTTCGGCAATATGATTTTTATAAAACGATTATTATTTTCGAATTTTTTATAAAATTTTGCTTCTTTTGAGTACCAGGTTGACCTACTTTTGAAAAACTTTATTTTCACCAAAATATTACGGTACCGGTCTTTTTCCCAATAAAGCTTCGCTCTTTAAATCTATCACAATCATTCTCATATTTGATTGTATCAATATTAATAACTATTAGCAATGTTTAGAGCCTGTAACAAGGAAAAAAAATTTTTTGACCCACCCTAATATATATATATATATATATATATATATATATATATATATATATATATATATATATATATAATATATATATATATATATATATATATATATATATATATATATATATACATATTGTTATAGAAATAGGCATTTAAAAAGCAATGGAAGCAAAGTAAAAACTTTTTTTTTTAAGATAATCAAATATTATTATTTAATTTGCTACAGTCCCTCGAGTAACTATAAAAAAGCACACCCTAAACGGTTCAATTTGATTTTTAGTTATTAAGAAGTTCCCTTTTTAGTGGTTAATGATATTAAAAAGAATGTTCCGTCAAAAACGATTAGAAAACATATTTTTTCAATAGGTAAACTTTTCCACCTTCAACATTTTTTTCATTGATTAATAAATCCCTTTTTAACACCTCTAAGCTTTTTTCTGTCCTTTTTAAAAGCTTCACATGATTTTCTTTTAAATGACAGTGCCTGTCTATTTTACAAGCATCAGAATTTGAGATTTAAATCTGTTTTTTGGTTTGTTTTATGTTTTTTAAATGGTAAAACTGGATGTAGAGTATTAAGCCAAATGCTCATTAAGAATTGAGCCAAATTTAAATAAAATGTAGAGAATTTGCCTATTGAGAAATTTAAGCCCTTACAAAAGAAATTGTAACAGGGCAAATTAAAACTGATGAGAAAGGTATTGGTTAACCATAAAATTTATCTTTTTATATTGGTTAATTCATGCTGTTTTTATTTTTGTCAACTGAATTTTAAACAGTTTTAATAGAATTTTTACATATTAATTTTAACTATTTTCATATTAATTTACAGAAAGAGCAAAACTTACTTTTATTTACATAATAATACATAACAGATTTATATATTTTAGAAAATTCATAAATAAATATATATATATATATATATATATATATATATATATATATATATATATATATATATATATATATATATATATATATATATATATATATATATATATATATATATATATATAATGCGTTTCTCTGCATAATTTGAAAAAGGATTTTCTCCCTCGAAGGTTTTTATGGGTTATGCCACTAAACACTTTTTAATTTTTTTACAACTGAATGATTTGTTTGCTTTTTGTGAATTCTATTGTTTTTTTCAGTCTATTAGTGTTGTTATCGAATTTGACTGACTAAAAATCTACTAGTCCAAAGTCAAAATTAGTCGACTAAAAAATAACGAATTGTTGATTTAATTGACTATGCACTTCCTACAAATCCACTAAAAGTCGATTTAGTCGAGTGAAAATTCTAAAATCCGTTTATCTTTTTATTCGATTTAACTTTCGGTAGATGATAGAATCAAAAACC